TGCCCAGTCCCTTCCTTTACCATCTTTCCCTCCTCTTGTTCCTCTATTGCCACCTTCTTAGCCTGTCGTGGAGTCTTGACCCTTTTCGCCACCTCTCCTCCCCTCTCTTGCGCAGCAGTGCACACCGCCTCTTCTTCTCTTGCTGCTTCTCCCACTCCAATTGCACTGCTTCTCTCGTCTACTGTTCCTCCTCCTCGTCCTCCTCCTCCTGCTACTGACGATGGCACCACTGCTTCTGCTTCTGCTGCTGCTGCTGCTGCTGCTGCAAATGCTACTTCCCTCCCTTCGCCTGCTCTCCCCAATCCCACGTCGCCCACCTTCCTACCTCTGTGGTCAAGCCATGCGCCATCCCCACCACTTCTGCCAGCCTCGAGCGAACTCCCACCACCAACTTCCATCACCCCATCAGCAACCACCACATGCCCTCCGTCTTTACCTTCTCCCCCTTCCCTTCGAGCGTTACCCTCTTCCCCCGTTTCCCCTCCCTCTTTTCCATCTCCCCCCTCCTCTCCCTCCGATCCTGCTTCCTCCACCCCACTCTCCTTCCCTCTGGAGATTCTGTCTTGAATGGCACCGTCTCCCGAGGCTGGATGGCAGTTTTTGTCCGGATCCGGAAGACGAGGGGACTGCGGGAAATGGAGGGAAACGGAGGGAAATGGAAAGACGGGGTAAGAGTGAGATGAAGATGACAGGAGAAGAAAGTAAAGGAAAAATGAAGATGAGGAGAAGGTGAAGATGGGTGAATGCAGATGAAGGAAGGTGGAGAACGGTAAATGAGGTGAAGACAAGAAAGACAAGAAGATGAGAGAACAGCTATGAACGATGAAGACAGATGAGGGGAGATGAAGGAACGGCAAACACTGAATGTCAAAACATCGTACCCCGGTTTATACAGAACACACTCCCCTCCCATCCAAACCCCATCCCATCCCATCTCATCCCATCCCAACCCATCCCATCCCACCGCATCACACACCTTCGTTTTCTCCGGCTTCTTCCGGCTCTTCTTCTTCCTCCCTGATTTGCCTTTGCCATTGTTCTCTGCACAGGGAAGGAAAGATAAATTCACTGAGTAAAAAATGCTACTTGGAAGTCACTTTCGAAAAATCTCAATGTCACATGCCTCGAGAAAGCTTCCGTTTCGACACAATCAGAGAGAAACAAACCGAGCATTGTCAAATCCCAGCCTCACGTCCCCCATCGATGAACGATAGAAGGTCGTCTACCGATCGCTCATCCACCGATTGCTCCTTGTGGTGGTGCCTGTGCATCGCCGTTAGAGTAAACTCAAAGCCCAAACTTTTGACCCTCACCTCCCCCATCAATGAATGACAGAAGGTCGTCTACTGATCTCTCATCCACCACTCGCTCCTTGTGGTGGTGCCTGTGCATCGCCTCCCTCAACCCTCCACTCTCCCTGCCCTTCCGCTCCATCTCCTTCTCCCCTCCCTTCCCTGCCTCCTTCTCTCTGCTTCTCCTCTCGCCACCGTGAGACCTCCCTCCCCTTCCTTGCTCCTCCTCGCTTTCGTCTTCTTGATGGTGACTCGTCGAGTGTGTGTGCTCCTGACAGACAGTAAACAAAGCGCAGAGAGAGACAATCACGAACCACAGACATTGCTTAGAGCCTTCCCTCCTCCTTTTCCTTTTCCATGCTCTTCCTCGTTCCCGTCCTCTTGAGGGTGACTCGTCGAGTGTGTGCGCTCCTGACAGACAGACAAAAAAGCGCAGAGAGAGACAATCACAAACCACAGACATTGCTTAGAGCCTTCCCTCCTCCTTTTCCTTTTCCTTACTCTTCCTCATTCCCGTCCTCTTGAGGGTAACTCGTCGACTGTGTGCGCTCCTGACAGACGGACAACAAAGCGCAGAGAGGGACAATCACGAACCACAGACATTGCTTAGAGCCTTCCCTCCTCCTTTTCCTTTTCCATGCTCTTCCTCGTTCCCGTCCTCTTGAGGGTGACTCGTCGAGTGTGTGCGCTCCTGACAGACAGACAACAAAGCGCAGAGAGAGACAATCACAAACCACAGACATTGCTTAGAGCCTTCCCTCCTCCTTTTCCTTTTCCTTGCTCTTCCTCATTCCCGTCCTCTTGAAGGTGACTCGTTGAGTGTGTGCGCTCCTGACAGACAGACAACAAAGCGCAGAGAGAGAGAATCACGAACCACAGACATTGCTTAGAGCCTTCCCTCCTCCTTTTCCTTTTCCTTGCTCTTCCTCATTCCCGTCCTCCTGCTGGTTAGGGGAAACACACACGGACAGGAGAGGAGCAGCACACCCAAAACAATTGCCACGTTTTTGAAGAAGTGTTTTGAGACGTCTCAAAACACTTCTTCAAACACAACGCAGAAGGAGATAAAAAAAACACACACGGACAGGATAGGAGCAGCACACCCAAAGCGAATGCACTGAACTTCCCCTCTCCTCGATGCCTTGAGCCGATTCTTCTGCTGCTATAGGCTTGTCAGTGGCAATATTATGACCTATCCGACTCATACACGTACCTTCTTCCTCAGGAGGTCCTTCCTCTTCTTCGCATATAGCTGGTTCAGTGATCGACTTTGAGTCAGACTAGAAAACGGAATTAATAGTCATGCCTCCTTGAGGGTGGACTAACGAACCCACCTTCTTCCTCAGGAGGTCCTTCCTCTTCTTTGCATAAAGGCGGTTCAACAGCCGAATGCGCGGATCGTCTGTGCCGCTCCGCACCGGCTCCAGCTTCTCCTCCTGCGGTTCGTTATAACGGGTGACCGGGGGACACGTGGGGGAGGGTGAAGATAGGGGAGACTGTGGGGGAGAGGAATGCGAGGGTCATCCGTGCCGCTCCGCACCGGCTCCAGCTTCTCCTCCTGCGGTCACAGGGGAAAAGGGGCGAGGGTCGGAGAAGGGGAAGGAGGAGAGAGGGATCAGGAGAGGAGTAACAAAGAGGCATCTTAGCAGGCGAGTCTGTGGGTTGTCTGTGCCGCTCCGTACCGGCTCCAGCTTCTCCTCCTGTGGTCACATACATGTGACAGGGAGCAGGGGACAGGAGGTGGGAAAGGGGGAAGGGAAGGAGGGATGGAGGAAGAGGGATCAGGCGAATGCGAGGGTCGTCTGTGCCGCTCCGTACCGGCTCCAGCTTCTCCTCCTGTGGTCACATACATGTGACAGGAGAGCAGGGAGAAGGTAGGGGGCAGGGGGCGGTGGAGGGGGGAAAAGGTGTACAGGACAGTCATCTCTTTGTCCCACGCGCCTCTGAGTGACTTTTGAGTCGACTCAAAAGTCACCTCGGTGGAGGGGGGGGAAAGGTGTAAACGGGACAGTCATCTCTTTGTCCCACGCGCGCGCCTCTGTGAGGTCATCAGCCGCGCCTCTGTGAGGTCATCCGGGAAATGAAACATCTCCCGAATCTCCTCGGGCGACTTACCAGCCACGCCAGCCTCGAGTGACTTTTGAGAATTCTGAAAAGTCACTTGAATATACGCCAGCGCCCTGCTAGTGAGGTCCACCAGCGGCTTCACTTGCTCCCTCCCAGGTACCACACACCAACCCGTCTCCCCCACCCACCCACCTCTGTAAGGTCATCTGGAAGGTGGAACGTCTCTCTGATCTCCTCAGGCGACTTGCCCTCTATCAGCCGCGGCAGCGCCTGGCTCGTAAGGTCCACCAGAGGCTTCATTTGCTCCCTCCCAGGTACCACACACCAACCCTTCTCCCTATAGAGTCTATAGACCACGCACCTCTGTAAGGTCATCCGGTAAATGAAACGTCTCTCTGATCTCTTCGGGCGACTTGCCCTCTATCAGCCGTGCCAGCGCCCGGCTCGTGAGGTCCACCAGGGGCTTCATTTGCTCCCTCCCAGGTACCACACACCAACCCTTCTCCCTATAGAGTCTATAGACCACGCACCTCTGTCAAGTCATCCGGTAAATGAAACGTCTCCCGAATCTCCTCGGGCGACTTGCCCTCTATCAGCCTCGCGAGCACTCTGCTCGAGAGATCCACCAGAGGCTTCCCTGAGGCTTCAGGTACTGCCAATCAGCGTGTAGTGAGGTGCATTTTGAGGCGCCTCAAAAGAGGTCCACCAGAGGCTTCCCTGAGGCTTCAGGTACTGCCAATCCACACACTCACGCACCTCGGTCAAGTCATCTGGCAGATGAAACGTCTCTCTGATCTCCTCGGGAGACTTGCCCTCTATCAGCCGCGCCAGTGCCCTGCTAGCGAGGTCCACTAGCGGCTTCATTTGAAGCACATCCGCCGCTGACGTCAGCTCACACAGCCTCCTCGGATCCACGCGCACGAATTTCTCGTCAAACAGCCTCCGCTCCTGTGAAGGGGGGAAAAGGGGGGAGACAAGGGGGTTGCAACGGGAGAGGAGGGGTTGGGGAGGATGGGGAGAGGCGCAGCTATAAGCTTGCACAGGCTCTCTGGGTCCACACACACACACACACCCACACACACACACACACAAAGCTCTTGTAAAAAAGCGAGCTCCTGGTAATACCAGTCAGCTTCATTCACTCACTCTCACTATAACTAGCACTCTCAACCTCACCCTCACCCTCACCCTCACTCTCACCCTCACCCACCCTCACTCTCACCCTCAATCTCACTCTCACCTTATCCAACCACCCTGGCACGCTGTGGTAGCGGCAGTACTCCACCCCCAACTGCAGCACCGCTTGACTCAATGCAGTGCCTCTTACTCACTCTCGCACACTCTCTTCTCTTCCTCACCTTGTCCGACCATCCTGGCATGCTGTGGTAGCGGCAGTACTCCACCACCAACTGCAGCACCGCTTGACTCAATGCAGTGCCTCTTACTCACTCTCGCACACTCTCTTCTCTTCCTCACCTTGTCCGACCACCCTGCCACGCTGTGGTAGCGGCAGTTCTCCACCACCAACTGCAGCACCACTTGACTCAATGCAGTGCCTCTTACTCACTCTCGCACACTCTCTTCTCTTCCTCACCTTGTCCGACCGACCACCCTGGCACACTGTGGTAGCGGCAGTACTCCACCACCAACTGCAGCACCGCTTGACTCAATGCAGTGCCTCTTACTCACTCTCGCACACTCTCTTCTCTTCCTCACCTTGTCCGACCACCCTAGCACGCTGTGGTAGCGGCAGTACTCCACCACCAACTGCAGCACCGCTTGACTCAATGCAGTGCCTCTTACTCACTCTCACACACTCTCTTCTCTTCCTCCCCTTGTCCGACCAACCTGGCATGCTGTGGTAGCGGCAGTACTCCACCACCAACTGCAGCACCGCTTGACTCAATGCAGTGCCTCTTACTCACTCTCACACACTCTCTTCTCTTCCTCACCTTGTCCGACCACCCTGGCATGCTGTGGTAGCGGCAGTACTCCACCACCAACTGCAGCACCGCTTGACTCAATGCAGTGCCTCTTACTCACTCTCGCACACTCTCTTCTCTTCCTCACCTTGTCCAACCACCCTGGCACGCTGTGGTAGCGGCAGTACTCCACCACCAACTGCAGCACCACTTGACTCAATGCAGTGCCTCTTACTCACTCTCGCACACTCTCTTCTCTTCCTCACCTTGTCCGACCACCCTGGCACGCTGTGGTAGCGGCAGTACTCCACCACCAACTGCAGCACCGCCTCAATGCAGTGCCTCTTACTCACTCTCGCACACTCTCTTCTCTTCCTCACCTTGTCCGACCACCCTGGCACGCTGTGGTAGCAGCAGCAGTACTCCACCACCAACTGCAGCACCGCTTGACTCAATGCAGTGCCTCTTACTCACTCTCGCACACTCTCTTCTCTTCCTCACCTTGTCCGACCACCCTGGCATGCTGTGGTAGCGGCAGTACTCCACCACCAACTGCAGCACCGCTTGACTCAATGCAGTGCCTCTTACTCACTCTCGCACACTCTCTTCTCTTCCTCACCTTGTCCAACCACCCTGGCACGCTGTGGTAGCGGCAGTACTCCACCACCAACTGCAGCACCACTTGACTCAATGCAGTGCCTCTTACTCAATCTCGCACACTCTCTTCTCTTCCTCACCTTGTCCGACCACCCTGGCACGCTGTGGTAGCGGCAGTACTCCACCACCAACTGCAGCACCGCCTCAATGCAGTGCCTCTTACTCACTCTCGCACACTCTCTTCTCTTCCTCACCTTGTCCGACCACCCTGGCACGCTGTGGTAGCGGCAGCAGTACTCCACCACCAACTGCAGCACCGCTTGACTCAATGCAGTGCCTCTTACTCACTCTCGCACACTCTCTTCTCTTCCTCACCTTGTCCGACCACCCTGGCATGCTGTGGTAGCGGCAGTACTCCACCACCAACTGCAGAACCACTTGACTCAATGCAGTGCCTCTTACTCACTCTCGCACACTCTCTTCTCTTCCTCACCTTGTCCGACCACCCTGGCACGCTGTGGTAGGGGCAGTACTCCACCACCAACTGCAGCACCACTTGACTCAATGCAGTACCTCTTACTCACTCTCGCACACTCTCTTCTCTTCCTCACCTTGTCCGACCACCCTGGCACGCTGTGGTAGCGGCAGTACTCCACCACCAACTGCAGCACCGCTTGACTCAATGCAGTGCCTCTTACTCACTCTCGCACACTCTCTTCTCTTCCTCACCTTGTCCGACCACCCTGGCACGCTGTGGTAGCGGCAGTACTCCACCACCAACTGCAGCACCGCTTGACTCAATGCAGTGCCTCTTACTCACTCTCGCACACTCTCTTCTCTTCCTCACCTTGTCCAACCACCCTGGCACGCTGTGGTAGCGGCAGTACTCCACCACCAACTGCACCACCGCTTGACTCAATGCAGTGCCTCTTACTCACTCTCGCACACTCTCTTCTCTTCCTCACCTTGTCCGACCACCCTGGCACGCTGTGGTAGCGGCAGTACTCCACCACCAACTGCAGCACCGCTTGACTCAATGCAGTGCCTCTTACTCACTCTCACACACTCTCTTCTCTTCCTCACCTTGTCCGACCACCCTGGCATGCTGTGGTAGCGGCAGTACTCCACCACCAACTGCAGCACCGCTTGACTCAATGCAGTGCCTCTTACTCACTCTCGCACACTCTCTTCTCTTCCTCACCTTGTCCGACCACCCTGGCACGCTGTGGTAGCGGCAGTACTCCACCACCAACTGCAGCACCGTTTGACTCATTGCAGTGCCTCTTACTCACTCTCGCACACTCCCTTCTCTTCCTCACCTTGTCCGACCACCCTGGCACGCTGTGGTAGCGGCAGTACTCCACCACCAACTGCAGCACCGCTTGACTCAATGCAGTGCCTCTTACTCACTCTCGCACACTCGCTTCTCTTCCTCACCTTGTCCGACCACCCTGGCATGCTGTGGTAGCGGCAGTACTCCACCACCAACTGCAGCACCGCTTGACTCAATGCAGTGCCTCTTACTCACTCTCGCACACTCTCTTCTCTTCCTCACCTTGTCCGACCACCCTGGCATGCTGTGGTAGCGGCAGTACTCCACCACCAACTGCAGCACCGCTTGACTCAATGCAGTGCCTCTTACTCACTCTCGCACACTCTCTTCTCTTCCTCACCTTGTCCGACCACCCTGGCATGCTGTGGTAGCGGCAGTACTCCACCACCAACTGCAGCACCGCTTGACTCAATGCAGTGCCTCTTACTCACTCTCGCACACTCTCTTCTCTTCCTCACCTTGTCCAACCACCCTGGCACGCTGTGGTAGCGGCAGTACTCCACCACCAACTGCACCACCGCTTGACTCAATGCAGTGCCTCTTACTCACTCTCGCACACTCTCTTCTCTTCCTCACCTTGTCCGACCACCCTGGCACGCTGTGGTAGCGGCAGTACTCCACCACCAACTGCAGCACCGCTTGACTCAATGCAGTGCCTCTAACTCACTCTCGCACACTCTCTTCTCTTCCTCACCTTGTCCGACCACCCTGGCACGCTGTGGTAGCGGCAGTACTCCAACACCAACTGCAGCACCGCTTGACTCAATGCAGTGCCTCTTACTCACTCTCGCACACTCTCTTCTCTTCCTCACCTTGTCCGACCACCCTGGCACGCTGTGGTAGCGGCAGTACTCCACCACCAACTGCAGCACCGTTTGACTCAATGCAGTGCCTCTTACTCACTCTCGCACACTCCCTTCTCTTCCTCACCTTGTCCGACCACCCTGGCATGCTGTGGTAGCGGCAGTACTCCACCACCAGCTGCAGCACTGCTGCTGATACCTGCTCGCACACTCTCCGGTGACCTGACTGCAATGACACTAACAAACAACGTCCCTCTCACCTTATCCGACCTCCCCGGAACGCTGTGGTAGCGACAGTACTCCACCACCAGCTGCAGCACCGCTGCTGACACCTGCTTCGGGAGAAGAATGGGCGATGACTCATGCGATCCCCCAGCACTGCCACCAGCAGCGGCAGCACCAGGAGCATTGGCAGTAGCAGCAGCAGCACCAGCAGCACCGCCACTGGTAGTAGCTGCAGTTGCGACAGCATCACCAGCCGCCTCAGCAGCAGCAGCAGCAGCAGCAGCACCAGTATCACCAGCAGCGGCATCAATGATAGCGGTTCCAGCAGCTGCAATCATGGAATAATCACTCAGCCTCTTCGCAACATCTCCCACGCCCGCTCCCCCTCCCTTCCCTCTCACACCCTCGTCAAAATGTCCCTTTTCCGTTCTGACTTTACCCATCGCCAGAGGTGACCGTTGAGCCATGGCCTGCCAGAGGAAGGGGATGAAAGCCGCGACGCGTCTGTCCATCTGGAGCGTCTCGCCCTCTGACGTCAGCAGCCACACGCCCGTGGCGCTGTCGAATCCCACGGGGGACGGGCTTTCAGCCACCTTACTGCCTGAATCTGCTCCCTTGTCTGGTTCCGCTCCCTCTACTGATTTAGCTCCCGTGGCGCTGACGAATCCCACGGGGGAAGGGCTTTCAGGTACCTTCTCTGAATCTGCTCCCTTTTCTGGTTCCGCTTCATTCTTCAATTCCGCTTTGTTACTTGCTTCCGCTCCCTTTACTGTTTCCGAAACCTGCCCTGGTTCTGCTCCCTGCCGTGATTCGGGTGCAGCGGCTCCGTTGTTGCTTGCTGACGTGTCGTTATTCCCAAGTGGCGTTGTCGCTGGCGTTACATCATCACATAATCGTGTTACATTGTCAGTCGATGCGGTTACAGGGTCAGAATCGGTTGTTACATCTGGTGTTACAGAATCGGTTTCTGGAGTAGTTGTTGCATCAGTACTCCCGATATTGCCACTCTCGCCGGCTGCTTCCCTGCTACTTCCGTTACTATCACCCTCAGGGGAATCGCTGGGTTCTCCCCGATAGCTGGATTCGGTTGATCGTGTCATGACTACCGACGGTCGAGATTAGAAAAGGAGAACACGTTTCTTGCAAGATTACCCCGTCCGCGTTGCACCTTGTCGATTATTGTTTGCCTGAACGACCACACTAAGGCGTATCCCTGACTAGACTAGAGGTTTCTAGCGATGTCGCTCCTACCAGCCTGAGCTTAATGATGTCGACGATTGTAGTTGCGATCGAGATAGTGTTTGAGGGAACGTAATCGACGGTTGTGCGAGACATGCTGCGGCTCCGAGGGTGACACGCACCGTCGATAGGTTCGGGTATGTCGATGGTGGAATCGCAGCCGCCAAGAAGGAAACTGCAGCCGAAAATCCCAGGGTTTCGAACACCCTAGACCGCGCTATGGAGTGTTGGTTTTGTCAGCGTTAGATGTTCTCGTAAAG